CCTTTATACGTTAATTTGGAAAAAAATTACTAATATTTTACAGATTCTTTGTGTTAAAGCAGTGATTTTTAAAAAGGTTTGATGAAAAGAGTTAGAAAAGAATAAGGAGTTTATTTTCATATAAGATACAATAACTTTGGTGTCAAATATTGGGGAAATTTCTCTGAATATTGATTTTTACCATAAAATCCAAATTAACTGATTTATTCCTAGAATTGAACATTTAAATCTTGTTGAGAGAGAATACACACCTTGTTTGTCCATCACCCAGAGGAGATGCAGCTCATTATGGCCACTAGATGGAGCTCTGACTGTTTCTGATCAGTTTCTGCCTCTTGATGCTGAAACAGAATCAGTGAATTGATTCTTTAGATCTGAAGATGCAGCATCGCTTTAGGACAGAAGTCAGAGATGTTCTTCTCTGACAGAAAGATCCACCTCAGACTTTAACTCACAGCATTAATAAGATATTCTGATCAAATGAATCACAGGGAGACCAACCAGGATGATGATGTCATTAGGATCAGTGATGATAAGTCTGAGGACTCAGTCCTTCAGCATCTGCAAGAACCAGAATCTAACAGGAACCAGACACCCACAGGAACCAGAATCTAACAGGAACCAGAATCTAACAGGAACCAGAATCTAACAGGAACCAGAATCTAACAGGAACCAGAATCTAACAGGAACCAGAATCTTACAGGAACCAGAATCCCACAGGAACCAGAATCCTACTGGAACCAGAATCCTAAAGGATCCAGAATCCTACTGGAACCAGAATCCTACAGGATCCAGAATCCTACAGGAACCAGAATCCCACAGGGACCAGCGGTTTTCCACATCCCTGAATGCAGCACCCATCCCATCAGGATCTTCTGTGATCATCTGATCCTCACTCACTCACTCTGCAGGTGTGTTTGATGCTATCTGGGTTGACCTCGGTTCCTGACCCCTCCCATCTGCAGTTTCACCGTATGACTGAGGTGAGTCCAGCAGAGGTCAGAGGTCGGCCCACACTGAGCCGTTTCAGTACAGAAACCAAAGACATCTTAAATGTTTGAGACTCCAGCTGGAGGTAAAGTCCAGCTCCTCCAGGCTCGGCTGATGTTGGGTCTGAGACGCATCAGAGAGACGCTCAGCGTGTTGCACTCAGTTCCTCCTCTACTCTGTTCTCTTAATCATCTGATCTATAACTTTAGAGCTGCAGCTTAGTTAGATCTTCTGCTCAGGTTTTGTTCCTGCAGCCAGGGTCTGTTTGCTTCACATCAGGCGGTTCTGCAGGCCTCAGATCATCATTATTATCCTCCAGGTGGAAGCTAATGAAATCAGCCTCTATGATTGGATCAGCTGCATGACAAAAGATTTCAGATGAAATCTTCCAGTTTTCCAAATCTCTGATGTGTTCCTGGGCAGAACAAACTGAATCTGAGGCTGCAGGACTGAAACCCCATCAGACAGACGCTGGTGGCCCTGCTGAGAACCCGCTGCAGCACCTGTCTCAGTGGGCGGGGCCAGCCGCTCTGAGGTCAGCTTCAGTCAATATTCAATCTGCTCATGATCCACAAAGAATACAAAAATAAGTGACTGCTGTTGGTTTGAGGTAAGACTGGGCTGGAAGTAGGAATCAGGATATGACCTCCCAGTATCATCAGTGGAACCAGAGCAAACACCTGCTTCTGGTCTCCTCTGAAAGAAACAGGATCCAACACATAAACCTCTGGAGCCAAATAAAATAGTTATAAAAGACCCCAGTCTGATGTCTGACTCATGATCTGACAACATCAGCGCAGAAACTAAAGATTTTCTGCAGAAAGAAAGATCAGGATTTTGTTGGAAGCTCCTAAAGCCTTAAATGGCCAAGCTCCATCTGATATCAGAGATCTGATCGTTCCTGATGTTCCTATAGGAGCACTTCGCTCTCAATCTGCAGGTTTACAATCTGACTGAATTTAATCGAATTGATCGGCTGAGCAAGGAGCCAATCAAAAGCTAAGAAAGCGGCTTCTGGAACCATCAGGAATGTTTCCTGACAGAGTTTCCACAGTCTTTCCTTTGACTTCATGGCACAAAGCTTGGAAAAAAACACTATTTAGGGTTAGGCTAGAATCATTAGCCACTTTTTTATTAAAGGAGTTTAGTAGCTGCTGCACCATCATCCTGACTGAATCATGGCTGAATTCACCGATACCAGACAATGCTGTTAGCCTGGAGGAGCTAACTATTCCACGCCGATAGAAACAGCAAACTCAGCAGTAAGGCCTGGTTTACTCTAACATTAAAGATGCATTCAGAGCAGCCCCCCGCCCCCACCTCGGATCACCAGATCACCTATCTGCCATCATACTTCCTGCATACACATTCCAGCAAATCAGGACAAAATCAACAGTGAAAAAAGTCAGAGTGTGGTCTGAGGGCGCCATGGAGAATCTTTAGGACTGTCTGGAATGCTCTGACTGGAACATGTTCAAAGCTGCAACAACCTATGACAACAAAATAAATATAGATAAGACTGCCATGTCATTCTCCATGGCAATCTCAGGCCGCCACCCTGAGTCTTACCGCAGAGTTCTTTGTTTTTATGGGCGCGGTATTGCGTTAGCCCTTCCAGGCTAATAGCATTGTCGGGTATAGCTGTATGCAGCCAAGATTCAGTCAGAATGTTGGTGCAGCAGTTACATGTCTTCTTTTCTGAGGAGAGTTAGAGTCTCAGATTATCCATTCGATGCAGGTCCAGCATATTTTGCAACAGCTTCTTCCCCACCGCCATCAGACTGTTGAAAAAAATGTTAATCATGTAACAGACTCTGCGTCACACTGATAACACCAAAACAAAAATACTGCATATTTGCACCATATATATTAATGCTCTGAACTTCCAGATCAATTGGCACCATGTTTTTTCTCCCACACTGTTTACATGTGATCACTGCTGCACTTTGAGAAATGTTCATTTACTCTCTGAAAGCTGTACTAAACGAAATTTCGTTTTGTATACACTCTGTGTATATAAAAGGATAATAAAAGTTGTCTAAGTCTACCTATTAACTAGGCAAGAAAACTTCTGTAGATCCCGGACAGGACCCCAATGGTCTTCACAACACCCAGAACTAGAATAAGAAAATTCCTTTTTTCTAAGAAGAAATAAATCCTTATTGCTGACAGAAACCTATGTTAGCCAACTTTGGTAACATTCTTTGATTCATTCCTCTCATCTACATCTTTCCTCGGTTCAAGTGGAGGAACTTAGAGGTGCGGAAGGCACACAAGGATAGTCCTCTCCATAACAAAACTCTCCAGGAGGATTTTAAGAGGTTCTTAGATTAAGGTTTAGATTATTTCGGTCTTCCTTGGAATGACCTCCCAGTGGGATATCAATTAGTCTGGTCCTCTAACGTCTACACACCCAATCCCATCAGGGACATTGTGGAGGAAAGTTTATATAGAACTGCTGCAAATGTATTGAAAACAAATAAATATTCACACCCTTTGCTCAATACTTTGTTGATCCAGTGTTGGCAGCAGGTCCAACCTTCAGGCTTCTGCATTCTGACCCACAGTCACGGTGCCTCTGTTGGGATCCTCAGGCTTGCCCACCAGAGGGCGCCGAGGATCCTCTTCTGCTCTTTGTTATTTTCCCTTAGGGCTGGAGTTACTGTTGGGATCTGGAGATTACCCTCTGTCTCCAGCAGAGTGCGCTGTGGGTCTTCTGGAGCTGGAATCTTCCAGCACACCTGATTTCCATCTACTCATCAGGAGACCTCCCCTTTATAAGCTCCTGCCAGGCCTTGCTTCCACGCCGCAGTGTTGATCTTAGTTTGGAACCCTGTCTCTGGCCTGAAGCTCTAGATGAGCCTAACCTGCTAATCTGCCCTGGTGAGCCAACCTGAAGGTTCCTATGTGGAATCACCCTGAAGAATCCTATGTGGATATTCCCTGTTGTTCTCTGCAGTGAGCTGGAAGCTCAAATCTTGGTCTGCCATGCTAAGCCTGAAGCTAGACGCTTAGCTTCTCATGAACTCTGCTAACCAACAGTCTCCGGTCCCAGTCAAGACTTTAGTGAACCAGCTTGGACCAGTTCCAGACCCAGTTTATGTCCTTGTGTTTTGTGCTTATTAATAAACTCTGTTGAACTTTTACCCCGTTTCCGTGTGTGTTCTGCATTTTGGGCTAAACTCAGAGACCCATCATGACAGCCTCGAGCTCAACTCCGCATCCATTGCAGAACATCTCAGCTCCATCAGGTCAGATTGAAATGTCTCTTTCAGATCTTTCCAGATGTTCCATCCATGAGACTCCAGTCCGGACCCTTCATAGACTGGCTCTGATCCACTCTTTGGAGGGACTGTCTGAAGTCCAAAGATCTCTGTAACAGGTCTCTATAACATCCCATAGCCTGATGCTGCCACCACCGTGCTCCATCTTAGGGATATCACTGGTCTACTGATGAGTTCCTGGTTTCCTTCATCTGGTTCACGTCTAACATCTCAATCTCTGTCTCCTCAGACCAGAGAACTTTGTTCCTCATAGTCTGAGACCTTCAAGAGTCTTTTGATGGCCTCCAGAAGAGCTGCCATGTTCATTTTATGAAGGAGGGGCTTTGATATGACTGCTCCACCAATCTAGCCTGATTGGGGGATTGCTGCAGAGGTTGTTTTCCTTCTGGAAGGTTTTCATCTGTCCAGAGAGAACAGTGGAGCTCTAACAGAGGCACCGTCTGTTATGGTTCTCCCCATTTTTGACTCTGAGTTTTCAGTTTTCAGTTATTTTGTTTTATTATTTGGTTTATTTTCCCTTATATTCAAGCAGTTGCTCTCTGCTGCCCCCTTGTGTTTGCTCCCTTTCTCTTAGCTTCCTTCTAGTCAGTTCCACTCACACCTGCTCCATATTTAGCTCATTAGTCCATCCTTTGTTATGTTCCCCATATATGCACCACCTCTGCAGTCCCTCAGTGCTGCTTCCTTGTTGTTGTTTCCTCATCTCTGGCTCCCCTCAGTTTTCCCTCAAAGTTTTTTGGTTCTTGGTATTTTTGTTCTTTGGATTTTGCCTCAACTGATTAAACCTTCAAGATTCACCCTGCCTCCTGATCTCTGCATTTAGGTCCTCAAGCAACCTCACCACCCATTGTTGACGCCATCTGGTTCTTGGTCACCTGCTGGTTCCAACCTTCCTCCATACCAGTGACAGAGCCACTGACATCATAGGGACCTTCACAGCAGCAGATGTTTCTGGATCCTTCTGCAGGTCAGACTATCATCCATTCCATTGAGCTGTGAAATTGGACATGATGGGATTTATTATTATTGGGATATATGATTGTGATTAAAAAGATTGAAATCATTTGGGATCAGGCAGGACAGAACCAAATGTGGAAGAAGTTCTGATGCTATGAGATCATTCCACTAAGCTTGTAGTGGGAACGTGGGACAGTCTGTGGGACCAGGACAACCCAGCCTGTCCTTAGAGTCAGGTCTCATCAGCTCCTGATGTCCCACAGGTCCCTGGAAGGGTCATTTCCAGCAGTTCTGGACGTCCTTCCACGTCTCCCTGCAGTCATCGCTCCATCGGATCCTGCAGGTTAAAACCTTTTTATCTTCCAGGGAGACTCTGATCCGCTCCGATCAGAGCAAATTCTTTCCTCTGGACTCTTATTATCCCAACTAAAGCGTATCCTAATTAATTAAAGGCTTTTTTTTTTCCAGCTGCGGGTTGAATGGGCTCGTCTTCTCCGCGGCGATTAAGATAAAAGCCGAGCTACATTTATCCACCTGCTGCGACACAAGGACGGAGCGAGAGCCTTCTGAGTGAAGCTTTTAATCTGCATCTGAATGTATCTGCAGAGCAACGTTTGTTGATCAGCAGAGGAAAACATTAACAGTAGCAAAACACAAGGTCGCCTGGATCGGCCTTGTGATGCACAGAGGAACCTGCTGCCTGCTGCTTCACCGCAGAGAACCGCAGCTACAAATTTCATCAGGTTTATATAGGAGGCAGATTCATTTAAAACTCTGATTAATCAAGTAGCTGCTCTAATTGTTAAAAAACTGCTCTGATTAATAGTTAATCTGTCCTTATTAATCAATAACCTGTTCAGGTGAGTCAGTGAACCGATTCTTTTCAGGCTGTGAATCTCTAAAGGAAAATATTGGTTCTTTCTCGATTCATTTCATCCTAATTAGTATTTTTTAAAACATTCTTTATTTTGAAATTTGGGGTTTTCCTTTTTTGCTCTAATTAATCATTGATCTGCTCTGATTAATCATTAATATGTTCAGATGAGTCAGTGAACCGATTCTTTTCAGGCTGTGAATCTCTTAAGGAAAATATTTGTTCTTCCTGGATTAATTTCATCCTAATTTGTTTTGGGTTTTTTTAAAGATTCTTTATTTTGGAATTTGTGGTTTTCATTTTTTCTAAGGATTTTAACCCTTTATTTATTCTTTAATATATTTCTCTTTTTTCCATTTTTTATTTCCTCTTCATTGGGTCATTTTTCTATCAGACCCTTTTCTTTCCCTCCATTTATTGTTTATTTCTCTTTATTTTATAGATGTTGTTAATTTATTTTCTTCTTGTTTTCTGGTCCCTCGGCTTCATATTTCTCTAATATTACTGTTTTCTTTCCTTGAGAGCTGCCTGTCAGCCAAACAGGCCCCCACCCACAGCGCTGCTGTCCTTCAGAGTCACTTAGCTTCATAATGGGGCTGAATCGGCTGCGGCTCTGATGCAAACAGCGAACCTTCGTCTCTCTAACTTAAAAAGCTTTAAAGTGACTCCAAACAAAAGCTGTCATTATGCAGAGTTTATCCCACCAGCTCCGTTTCCATTAAGCCAAACTGGAGTCAATTAAACTCTCAGCTGGGTCCTCAGAGAGCCGGCAAAGCTGCTGCAGCAGACGGGAAGTCAAAGGAAAGAGGTAAACATGTCGGGCGGAGCCTGAATGACGTTAGAAAGCTCTTTGATTTCTGCCACAGAGGGAACGACCGGAGGGGGTTTCTACGGATGTTCACCGGTCAGCCCCCCCCCATCTAAATATGGAGAGAAACACGGTGGTGGCAGCATCATGATGGGAAGCTGCCAGAGACTGAAGCTTCACCCAGTCTGAACATCCAGCTGGAGAAACCTTCAGGTTCTACTGACGGGGATGGATACAAAAGCACTCCACACTTTTCAGATCTCAGTGCCTAATAAGGTAAAGTTATTGATATAAAGTCTCTATATTGAAGGAGCCGTTCCTCCATCACGCCTCCACCTCTATTTTCAACCTTTCTCCTCCGCCTTCACCTCAGCGCTTTGATTCCTGCTCAGCAGCTCGTCTGCTTTTATTCTGGGCTGAAAGGCTTTTATTCTGATAGCTGCATAATTAGCAGCTACTTTCTACCCACTGAGAGTCTAACTGCCTTAGAAGGGCAGCGTGGGGGGGTGGCAGGAGGAAACATTTTCTGCTCCATGAACAGGAAGAGACGCTCAGTTTGGAGAATCACAGGATCCAGATCAAAGTTCTGCTTCTGTGGAGGAGGCCACTGAGGAACCCAGCATCTCCTCGTGTCCTCAGAGTCCCACCTCAACAGCTTCATCATGGACCTCCATCATGGACCTCCATCAGGGACCTCCATCTTCAGCTGCCAGAAGACATGAGCTGGTAACCAAGGAGGTGTCTACCGGGCAGCGACCTAATCAGCCAACAGTGGATCAGAACCGAGGGAAGATCAGAAACCCAGAGAGGTTCTGATCATTGAGCAAAATGAGGAGAACCTCCTGAAACCTCCTGGAAACATGGAAAAAAGTTGGAGATCATCCACCCATCATCCATCCACCCACCCATCATCCATCCACCCACCCATCATCCATCCATCCATCCACCCATCATCCATCCACCCACCCATCATCCATCCATCCACCCACCCATCATCCATCCATCCACCCACCCATCATCCATCCACCCACCCATCATCCATCCATCCACCCACCCATCATCCATCCATCCATCCACCCATCATCCATCCACCCACCCATCATCCATCCATCCATCCACCCATCATCCATCCACCCACCCATCATCCATCCATCCACCCACCCATCATCCATCCACCCACCCATCATTCATCCACCCACCCATCATCCATCCACCCACCGATCATCCATCCACCCACCGATCATCCATCCACCCATCATTCATCCACCCATCATCCATCCATCCATCCATCCAACCACCCATCATCCATCCATCCACCCACCGATCATCCATCCACCCACCAATCATCCATCCACCCATCATTCATCCATCCATCCATCCACCCATCATTCATCCATCCATCCATCCACCCATCATTCATCCACCCACCCATCATCCATCCATCCATCCATCCATCCACCCACCCATCATCCATTTCTCCATCCATCCATCCATCCACCCATCATCCATCCATCCACCCATCATCCATCCATCCACCCATCATTCATCCATCCACCCATCATCCATCCACCCATCATCCATCCACCCACCGATCATCCATCCACCCATCATTCATCCACCCATCATTCATCCATCCATCCACCCACCCACCCATCATTCATCCACCCACCCATCATCCATCCACCCACCGATCATCCATCCACCCACCGATCATCCATCCACCCATCATTCATCCACCCATCATCCATCCATCCATCCATCCAACCACCCATCATCCATCCATCCACCCACCGATCATCCATCCACCCACCAATCATCCATCCACCCATCATTCATCCATCCATCCATCCACCCATCATTCATCCATCCATCCATCCACCCATCATTCATCCATCATCCATCATCCATCCACCCATCATTCATCCACCCACCCATCATCCATCCATCCATCCATCCATCCATCCACCCACCCATCATCCATTCATCCATCCATCCACCCATCATCCATCCATCCACCCATCATTCATCCATCCACCCATCATCCATCCACCCATCATCCATCCACCCACCCACCCATCATCCATCCATCCACCCATCATTCATCCATCCACTCATCCATCCACCCACCCATCATCCATCCATCCATCCATCCATCCATCATCCATCCATCCACCCATCATTCATCCATCCACTCATCCATCCACCCACCCATCATCCATCCACCCACCCATCATTCATCCATCCACCCATCATTCATCCATCCACCCATCATTCATCCATCCACCCATCATCCATCCACCTACCCACCCATCATTCATCCATCCACGCACCCATCATCCATCCATCCACCCATCATTCATCCATCCACTCATCCATCCACCCACCCATCATCCATCAACCCACCCATCATCCATCCATCCATCCATCCACCCATCGATCATCCATCCACCCATCATTCATCCATCCACCCATCGATCATCCATCCACCCATCATCCATCCATCCATCATCATCCATCCATCCATCATCCATCCATCCATCCATCCATCCATCCATCCATCCACCATCCATCCATCCATCCATCATCCATCCATCATCATCCATCCATCCATCCATCATCCATCCATCCATCCATCCATCATCCATCCATCCATCATCCATCCATCCATCCATCCATCATCCATCCATCCATCCATCCATCCATCCATCCATCCATCATCCATCCATCATCCATCCATCCATCCATCCATCCATCATCCATCCATCCATCCATCATCCATCCATCCATCCATCCATCCATCCATCCATCCATCATCCATCCATCCATCATCATCCATCCATCATCCATCCATCCATCATCCATCCATCCATCCATCATCCATCCATCATCCATCCATCCATCATCCATCCATCATCCATCCATCCATCCATCCATCCATCCATCATCCATCCATCCATCCATCCATCATCCATCCATCCATCATCCATCCACCCACCGATCATCCATCCACCCATCATCCATCCATCATCCATTCATCCATCCATCCATTAATCCATCCATCCATCCACCCATCATTCATCCATCCATCCATCCATCCATCCATTCATCCATCCATTCCTCCATCCATCCACTCAACGATCATCCATTATCCATCCATCCATCCATCCATCATCCATTCATCCATCCATCCATTCATCCACCCACCCATCATCCATCCATCATCCATTCATCCATCCATCCATCCATTCATCCACCCACCCATCATCCATTCATCCATCCATCCATCCACCCATCATACATCCATCCACCCATCATCCATCCATCATCCATCCATCATCCATTCATCCATCCATCCATTCACCCATCATCCATCCACCCACCGATCATCCATCCACCCATCATTCATCCACCCACCCATCATTCATCCATCCATCCATCCACCCATCATCCATCAATCCACCCATCATTCATCCATCCACCCATCATCCATCCACCCACCCACCCATCATCCACCCATCATTCATCCATCCACTCATCCATCCACCCGCCCATCATCCATCCACCCACCCATCATTCATCCACCCACCCATCATTCATCCATCCACCCATCCACCCACCGATCATCCATCCACCCATCATTCATCCACCCTCCCATCCATTCATCCATTCATCCATCCATCCATCCATTCATCCATCATCCATCCACCCACCGATCAGCCATTAATCCATCCATCCATCAATCCATCATCCATCCACCCACCCATCATCCATCCATCCATCCATCCATTCATCCACCCACCCATCATCCATTCATCCATCCATCCATCCACCCATCATCCATCCATCCACCCATCATCCATTCATCCATCCATCCATTCACCCATCATCCATCCACCCACCGATCATCCATCCACCCATCATTCATCCACCCACCCATCATTCATCCATCCATCCATCCATCCATCCATCCATCCATCCTCCATCCACCCATCATCCATCCATCCATCATCCATCAATCCACCCATCATTCATCCATCCACCCATCATCCAT